ATCCATTTTTGCATAAATTTCAGGTACCTTAATACAGTATGCCATTTTGACAACATGGTTGAGCACCTGGAGAAGGCCGACCAGCATTGATCTCTGTAAAGGATGTTAGCAGCATCTTCAGTCTGCTGGCTTGACTGGTAATCCATCAAAGTGCCTGTTTGCTAAAGCTGAAACTCAGTGTCTTGGATTAGTAATTGAAAATAAGGTGATGAGGCCTCAGGTAGATACAGTTTCTGCCATTGAGTCCATCCCATTCCAGTGACAAGAAAACTATTAAGATCATTCCTTAATTTCTGTGCCAGGGCAGCTGCTCTGACAGATAAAACTGGATCCTGGAGCCCAAACAACAGCTACTGGACTGATGACCCCAAAGTGGCTTTTCAGGATCTGTGATGATCATTCACTAAGAACTCAGTTTTGCAAAGTCCTCTGTGAGCTAGACTGCAGACTGATTTCTCAGAGAGAGGACTGGGAGCAGTTCTGTTGCAGGGACCACCAGGAGATGGTCATCCGGCTGCCTTTATCAGCCGCAAGTTGTTTCCAAGGGAAGTGCGTTATTCACCAGTGGAGAAGGAGGCTCTGGCCATCAAGTGGGCCCTGAATTCCTTCAGGTATTATCTGCTTGGACAATAATTAATTTTGGACACAGACCACAAAGGGGATGGAATTTTGCTTTCTTTGGTTTTGTGTGATTTTTTTTTTTTTTGCGATTGTGTATGTTATACCCCATGTCTTTCTTTAAGTTTCCCCTGTGTCTCAGCATGGTACTGTAGATCAGTTTGTTTCAGTTAGTCATATTTTGTTGCTAGTTATTCTGAGTAGTTTTGTTACTTTGATCTCTTTTATGGTCCCATTGTGTCTGTGTAAGTTATATTTCACTTTTTGGATTAAATAAAAGAACTGTATTTTTTGGACTCAGACCTGTGCCTGACTCTCCTTGCCGCTCGGTCCATCAAATGAACAGAAACGTTTTTTACTTAAAATTGGTCGGATCATCAAGCAAATTTTAACGCCAAAGATAACTTGATCCCTGCATCTTTCTTTTAAATCAGTACATCTTTGCTTGCCGGGTACTGACAAGCACCCAATGACTGCAATCTAGCTGTCATTGGGTGGGAACTAGAACTATGGACAGGTCTGTGGTCCATCAAAGAGACACATGGGACAAAAAAGCTTCTCAGAGTACTGAGGAGATTCCACTAATGCAAAAATAAAACATCATCTCTCTAGAAAGACCCCAGGTTGATGCTTCAACACTAGATTAAACTTTGGAACGGGGATTCCAAAGTCTGGTCCTAGGGCCATTTGGAGTTCTTGCAATGATTTTGACCAAATTAGTGCTCATAAATGGCATTAATTTGGTTTTGCTGCTCCGGCAGCTCACAAAGATAGAAAAAAATGTGCTAATATTCTGTTTCCATAGAAAGTTTTTTTTTTTTTTTACTAAAGTATCAGTCTCTCACTGATTATTTTTTTTGTTTAGTTTTGATTTGAGGCCAAAAAAGAAAAAGAATCAAATTGATTAATAGAATAATCGTCCAATTTTGTAATCAAATCTAATAATTACCAAGAGTTACGTATACAGAACAAACAAAACTCGAAAAAAATAAACATTTCTAATTTAAAATCAAAAATATTTGCCGTATACAATCATTTAAAATTCACAATATATTTCTTTTAAAATTAATAACACTCTTCCATTAAGAAATGTTGATTTATTTTTAAATTAATCAAAAAAGTAATAAATAGAAAAGTAATAGAATAATAAACTACTAGAAAAAATTATTTAATCTTATTGCCTCTTGGTTTATTACACTTGGCTAAATAAAGCAAAAGTGGCTTAATTATTATTTACATTTAAGCATAAACACACATATACAAAAATCTAGACTAAATGATCAAATACAAACATTTGTTTTTTTTTAATTTTCAAACGTTGTAAATAGAAATAAAAAAATTTTTTTATTGAGAAATTAATAAGAAATATTAACCACCCGGCAACCCCAAAAAACAACATTGCCCCTAATGTTAGCATCCTGTCGCAAATGTTAAAATACAACAGAAGACAACAGAAGTTAATGGAGCAGTGATAGCACGCTAATGCTATCAAGGCTAACTTTTAGGACATTAGGACACAACAATGATTTCTTGCAAAAATACAGAACTTTTATTGTGTTCTACATTTATCTACACAATAGCTTCCCTTTTCTTTGAAAGATGAACAACTTGTAAACAGGTTCAAGATTTTAACATTTTGAAAACATCCCAAGCACAGTATAACTTATTGGAGGAGCAGTTTTTAGGAAATACACACATTAAGTTTCAAAGAATACACTACCTAGTAGTAGAGTGGCAGGGAACTACTGTTTCATGCCCAGATAGCGTAGTTAAAATATTATATGAACAATTGAATTTCTGCAGTTTAGATGCAGAACAATAAGCATTTCCGAGATACATAAAGATGATGGAAAAATAGCTATATTTATTACAGCTGCTCAACAATCAAAACATTTCTATCATTACAATATTAGAATCTAGAATCTGGAAAGCTTGTAGATGTTGGCTGTTGGAATTTAAAGACCCATGTAGCAATGCTCTTTATAACAGAAACTTATCCAATCAGATGGACCGTCAGGTGTAAACAGAACTAGAAAAAACACAAACAATAAGCCAGATTGTTACCGTGGTGAGGTTCAGGAGTTAATAAGGAACACTGTCTGCCCTAAACCAAACCTTGTTCTTTCAAGGTTCTGAGCATGCACACATTTATTCACTGTGAGGTCTTGTAATTCATTAAGTTGGCAGAGTATCTGGGCTCTGGAAGCGAATGATGGCGTGCACTGGTGTGTTGAGCCTCTGGGAAATCTAAAGCAGGACTAAACCAGTCATGTAACATTACAAGAGCATCACAGTAGAAGGCTGGTGGTGGTCGTGGTTCTGCACGGATAACCCTATCACCTGCAACATCTTTGGCCTTGTTCCTATCTTGGCGCACAAAGGTGCAGCAGCTCCTTTGGGTCTCGGAATAAGGCTATATTATTTTCAGGGGGATTTAGGCTCTAGTTCAGTACTTGATTTACACCTAGAGTACATATCATCTAAAAATTATGCCCAAATGAGATGTTTAAATTTTTAAAAATTGCAAGACAGTGGCTCCTGATGACAACCGAGTAGAGACTGACACGGGAGTGGATTTTGACTCCTGTCCCGTCCCACTCCCACAGAAAAAAATTGTGTCCCGTCCCGATCCGGGGCCAGTTCCCAATTAGCCCAGGCGGAACGCGACCACTGGGCAGGAAAAACACGGGGAGGAGGACTCTGTATGTATATAAATAAAGGTTGGTGTAGGAAGAGTGGACTGGTAAAAAGCTACTGCTTTGGGGCGACAGAGCATAAGACAGTGAAATGTTGCCTGTAGTATCTGCTATTGAAAATGAATGCAGTGTTCATCGCTGTTGTTTACATGCCATCAGGAGCTGATGCAAACAAAGCACCAGTGGAGCTGTATGTTATCATTAGGTCGCTGCAGATAAAGAGCCTGTGTTGTTGCGGGGGACTTTAGCCATGTGAAACTCTACCCAGTTTTGACCTGCATGTCACCTTTTCCATGTGGAGAGACACTTTGGACTGTGTATAGACTAACATTTCGGATTCACACAGAGCTCTTCCTTGACCCCATCTTGGCACCTCTGACTATATTTCCATCCTGCTGGTGCCAGCATATCAACAGCTGATGAGATGGATTAGGCTAACTAAGAACACAGCCACCATGTGGCTCAGAGATGTAGCCGCTGTGCTGCTGGACTGTTTTCAGTGCACAGATTGGTAGGTCTTTGGAGAGGCGGCTACATATGGGCAGACCTGGAGGAATTCCCCTCTTCTGTTGTCAGCTTCACCTCCGAAAGTGCTGATGATGTCACCACCAGGATGGTAGACCTGCTATATAAGCCAGAAACACTGGCTGAATGCTGAGACAAGAGCTCGGATAAAAGCTAGGGATGCTTCAAAAAGGTTAAAAAACAATCCACTGGACTTTGTTACCAAGTTTTAAGATGTTTCACTTTCTATCTAGGAAGCTTTTTCAATTCAAAATGTGAATTGGGAAGTGAAACGTCTTCAAACTTGGAAACAAAGTCAAGTGAATTGTTTTTTAACCTTTTTAGGAATGACTATGACCTGAATGACTGAGAGTCTTCACCAGCTAGGGATGCTGTGTTAAGGACAGGTGAGTCATATCTGTACTCCCAATAAGTGAGGAAAACAGTGACTGCAGGCATCGTAATGGTACAAAGCCACATATGCCCACAAAATAAAATGGTCCACAGCACATGTGAAAGTGCATCAAATGTATTATGGGCTACAACAGAGATGCAAAATGTCAAATTGGACACACATGAGTCTGCCTACAGGAGGAACCAATCCACTGCTGATGCCATCTCATCGGTGGTGAACACAGCCCTCACTACCTGGAGAGGGCAAACTCCTATATCTGTCTGTTCTTCTTGGATTTCTCCTTGGCCTTCAGTACCATCATCCCATAGACCTTAGCACAGAAAGCTCTCCCACACTGAGAACTGGGTCCTGGTCTTCCTGACCAACAGACCTCAGAATTGCAGGGTTGACAACACCATCTCTTCCACCATCACCCTCAGCACTAGCTCACCCTGGGCTGGGTAATGAGTCCCCTTCTTTAGTCTGTGAATGCACAGCAAGACAATAAAGCGATCATATAGTAGGGTGACCAGACATCCTCTTTTTTTGGGACATGTCCAACTTTTCAATTCAATTTTCAATTTTTAATTTCAAAATCATCCAGGATTTTGGTTGACAACAGTGCAGCATGTAGTCAAAACAGGGAGCCAGCAGTGGACAGAGCAACAGAACATGACCCGTGACGGTAGCCTGGACAACAGCTGCCCCGTGCTGCACACCATCACCAGGTCGGTTAGGTCGCCCCCCCCCCCCCCCCCCCCCCCCCCCCCCCCCCACCACCACCACCATATGATATGGTAAAAATATCATATAATGAAGTTTGCAGACGACACAGCAGTGGTGGGATTCATCACAAACGATGCCTCTTATTACAGTTCTCTTTGTGCATGTGTGGGTTCTCTCTGGGTACTCCTCCACAGTTCAAAACCTTGACTGTTAGGTTAATTGGCATCTCTAGGTTGTCCTTAAGACTGATTTATACTCAGAATCCAGGTGGTCTGCGTGTGTGTCGCAGTTAATGCAAATGGGCCCCCCCCTTCTGCAGACACTCTGCTGCACCTCTCCAAAATTGTAGGTGACCGCAGACAGTGCCGAAGACAGGAGGCCTATAATTGGTCACATCTACATCTGCTTTACACTATGCTTTTTTCCTGTTTGGTACCTTACCGGCTTGTTTTGTTTGTTTGACCGCCATTGTGGAAAACGACTCGTGAATAATAACTCAATGTCTTCTATTTTGTACGTTCTTCTCTGCAGAAACAAACAGCTTGGCTCGGAAGACCAAAGTTGCGCAGATGACATAGGTTGGATTATTTACTATCATCAACTAAAGAGAAATCTTAGTCAGGTACGATAAAACTTATTGTTTTCTTTTCCATAGCAAAACTGAAATTGATGATGGAGACACAAAAAATCCCAGACATAAAATTAAGTCGACAGATAATGCCAAGGTCACAAAGACGTCTAATAGATGACCAATTAGGGTGCCTGGGAGCGGAGCACAGAACTGATGATTTCATGGTGAAGGTTTTCCAAATCTGCTGTGGTCTTGTTATGTTTCGATCAGTTATGTAAGTCATAGAGGGCAGGATGTTCAGCCTAAATGAGATGGTGAATCACTAGCAGAGCAAAGGAAACATCAGTTAGACAACTGACTTGTGTTTATAGTTTCCCTGAGATGAAGCTGACTCTCACAGAACTTTGTGAAATTTCTTGATGTCCCTGACTTTAGTACAAATTCTGAGGAGGTGAGATAAGTTCTGATCCACCTCCCAGAGCATCTGTAAGATTCTAGATCCTTGTTTCCCCATCAGACAGTTGACTCCGGACAGTGACATCCGGCTGGCTGCCAGCAAATCACATTATGCAATTCATGTTTCGTGAGAAGCTCCCGATTATCCAACACTAAATACTGATGGACTGTTCTTCGGGGTTACTATATCCCAAAACAAGGGTCCCCCTTCCCTTAGCGTCTCCTGTCCCTGTGTCCATCCATCCAGATGTCCTCAGCTGTTTGATGGCTGCTCTGGTTTCAGTCGAATGGCCCAAGAATTAGCCGATACGATGTCGCCGCGTCGGTGGATCCGGCAGGTGTAGACGCCCTCGTTGAACTCATTTGCGACGATGCGGAGGTCTCTGTCCTTCATTACGATGTAACCAGGGATGGAGGTTAAGATCTGCTCTCCGTCTTTGTACCAACTGGAGGACACATGGATATAGGATGGAAGAAGATGGAGGAAGTGGTTAGGTGGTGCACTACTGGTTCCAAACTGAACAGCTGAACAGGCTGAACCTGTCTTTGTCTGTGCTGACCTGACTTTGGGGGGTGAGCGGTGGGTTTTGGTCCCACAACGGAAACCAACAACCTTCCCTCGAGGAACCATCTTGATCTTTAGATTTGCTGGAGGCGACGTCGGTGTGGTGACCACATCCAGGGGCTCTGTGATGAGCATGAGATCCAGACAAGAAATAGGGTTTGGTTCTGCTAGCTCAAAGACCAAAGATAGACATTCTACTCTACAACATGATACCAAGGTCTACAATAACCATAGCAGAGATCACAGCGCTGAGGGCAGTTCTTCCTCATGAAGGTCCTTCTCCTTTCGCAGAATCCAAGTCGAGCCCATGGATCACAGACTCTCTTCTTGTCCCGGCATCCTGCAGACACACAAACAAAACAAAAATAGTGAAATAACCTTTAGATCCCTTTTCTACAGAAATTAGACTCATTTGATTGGTTGAATAGCATATGTTGTTGTTGAGAATGGTAATATAAAGACATAGTTAATTATTTGATTAATGATTAAAATAAATCGGGGTCAAATGAATAAAGTGAATTGATCTAAACCTACAGAATCATCCTCAGCACTGACACTACAACACAATGCGCCTAGAAACAGACTAGAGTTTAGATTTGACATAAGAACACATTTTTCTGTGTGTTTCAGGTAGGTACCATAGAGTCTTTGGATCCCCCACACATCATCCTGAGCAATGTTTCTCTGTCCGGTGTACGTGGCGTTGGGATGCATCAGAGCCTCTGGGTCCCTGGAGTGCCACAGACCCAAAGCGTGACCAATCTCATGAGCAGCCACCTGGACCAGGTCATTCAGCCAGACTCCTGAGAAATGGAACAGAGTCAGAGGTCCAAAACTGGTCCTGGTTCATTCTGACAGCTAGATTCTGATTGTTTGATTGTAAAAGGAGGCAACTGTGCTCAGGGATCAACAGATTTTACATTTGTTTGAACGAGTGAACCTTAAAAGAAATCGATTCTCGCATTAGAAAACTCCTCGTGCATCTGAAACAGCATATTAACAATCATTACCAGATTACATCAACAGCACTTCTGGTGTTATTTTATTACAGTAGCCATTTTAAGAGGCTTGTTTCCTGATGCTAACTGGACTTTCCTCCATTTTTCACCAGGTTTTACCAGGATGGAACCTGGAGCTTTGCAGGAATGTCCCTTTCCTGAAGAGCATCCAGATGTGGAATGTCAAACTCTGGTCCTTGAGGACCAGTATCCTGCAACTTTATAGAAGTCTACCTTGCTAAAATGATCTAAGTTTTGATGTGCACTACAGTGAACATGAAGGAATTTCTGTTTTGCCTAAGATGATTAGTCAATAAACACAATCAAAGTATAACATAGAAAAACATATTAAGATATTAAGATCATGCTTATCTTTCCCTGTTCCATAAAATGTCCTGGTCAAGGAGGTTGCTTTTTATAAAAGACAGGAAAAGACTACTTGGCATGGCCACACCCTCACAAAGAATATATTATTGGGAGGTTATGATTATCCTCTTTAAGGAACATCAAGACTCAATAGTCACATGTAAAGCATATGAGAAATAAAGAAAAAATAAAGTCTACTAAAATGTACAAATATGAATTGCTGGATCTTGGGAGTTTATATTATTGACTGTGATTTATTTTTATATATAATAAAATCAAGAACAAAAGAGGAGGTGGAGCAGCTGGTGGACTGGTGCAGAAGAACAGCCTGATCCTGAACATGGAGAAAAAAGGAGATCATGGTGGACTTCAGGAAGAACCGTCCTAACCACGCTCCACTACTCATCAACAGCTCAGCTGTAGAGGTGGTCAACAGCACCAAATTCCTGGAGATGCACATCATAGACACCCTCACCTGGAATGTAAACACCACCTCACTGGTCAAAAGGGCACAGAGGAGCATGTGCTTCCTGCGGAGGATGAGGAGAGCCCACCTTCCCCCACCCATCCTCATCACCTTCTACAAAAGCAGCATAGAGAGCGTTCTGACCAGCTGTCTCACTGTGTGGTGTGGAGGCTGCAGCGCCTCAGACTGGAAGAAAGTGAGAACAGCAGAGAAGATCATCTGTGCTCCTTTTCCCTCCATTAAAGACATTTCATCCCAGCGCTGCGTGTCCTGAGCCTGTAACATTTTCAATGACCTCTCACTCCCCCACCATGGACTGTTCTCCCTGCTGCCCTCTGGGAAGAGGCTTTGCAGCATTGGATGCAGGTGCAGCAGATTCTACAACAGCTTTTTGTTTTTCCCGCTGCCATCAGACTGTTCAACTGTAAAACTAAACTGGACTATGCATTACACTTTCAACATTATTTTGCACCACCAATGTGGCTTGAACTTTTATAATCCTTTAAAGTAGGATACAACTCAACGTTCTACTGCGTTTTGCACCATATTTATTTTGCGATGCACTGAACCTTTCCATATTAAATGTTGGGATCTGGAGGTCTGTCCACCCTTCTCCAGCAGAGGGCGTCCTAGGTCTCCTGGAGCTGAAGCTGACCACCGCACCTGCGGCTCATGAGCTCATCAGGAGACCAGCATTTAAGGAGGGGCAGAGCAACACTCCGGCACCAGAGTGTTTAGCCAGTTATGGTTAGCAAACCTTAGCCGACCAGCCTGTCTGAATCTCTGACTTCCCTGAAGCCTGCTGAACCTAATCTGTTTTTGTCCTCTCTGCTTCTCAGGAAGAACCTGCCTGGAAACCTGAAACCTGGAAGAGTTTCTCAAGCGAGAAACCAAGCAGTCTGTTCTCAGGAGAACCCTGGAAATCCAACTCAGTTTGAAACCTGCCTGCCCGCTCTCAGTAAGAGCTGAGAGAGAAGCTCTGAACTTGCTCAGTAAGAGTAACTGCTCTGCCCTGCCTCTGCCTGCCTTCAGCCTCTGGACCCTCCTGGTTCCCCTCCTCTGCCGCTCAGCCTGAATCTCAGAACAGAGAAACCAGTCGTGACCAGTCCTGAATCTGATAACCCCCTGACCTGTTAAGTCAATAAACCTTTGAACTTTTTCCCTGACTCCGGTTGTGTTCTGCATATGGGATAGAATCCTGATACCCATTATGACATTAAAGCCCTTATCTACTGTTGTAAGCTGTCAGCAACCAGCCCTTTACTTAGCGTCTGCTTTTTGTATTACTTGGAAATCTATCACTTTAGTTTTGCCAGTGCTGAGATACAACCTTGTTTCCAGCTGAACCTGGACTTCCCAAGGATCCAGAACTCATGGTTGTCAAAATGGATCTCTCCTCGTGGCGGCAGGAAGGCGTGTGCCAACTCTCCATTCAGGCCATCAAAGCAGGGGTGAAGAGGAGACCACCAGCAATCGGTGTGGTTAAAGGTGTAGAAACCTAACGCCCAAAGGACATTTTGATATGTTCAGAGGGTGTTTTAACTAATAACATTCACACCATTCAGCTTTATAGTATCAGAGGAGGTCTGGGGTGTTTAACTTCTGATCTGAGCAAAAGTTAGGGTTTAAAAATCAGCAAAGAAGTAGCAAAATAATAAAAATAACATTTTCATTTATTTCCTGACAACTGTTTTTTATTATTGCTCAGTGACATCATACCGATGGTGATGTCAGCAGTGGCGTTGCCTTCTGTAACCTCAGTGAAGGTCAGCGGAGACACGTCGCTCCACTTTGTGAAGGCGATGCTGATGGCCTTCCGGGTGTCCTCCTTGTTCAGAGTGTTGGGGAACTTGATGATCCTGGATTGATGGAGAGACAGCGGCTCAATGGGCATCTCCTTCCAGGCTGATTTAGAGATCGGCCTCATTCTCAGAGCCTCACAGATTTTCTGCTACGCCAAAGTGTCACACGCCACCAAACTAGATGCATTCCTTGTCAACATGCACATTGACATCTTGACAACAGCTTGTCACTTGATATCTCAATACTATCCAACACACCTTAACAGATCAAAACATGGATCAGTTCACAGCCTCTAACACCATTATCTGTGTCCGCGGAGCTCAGAAAGCAATTATCAGCTTCCTGCTCAGATGTGCCTGTTGCTGATCTACCTGTATGTGATGTTGTGATGACCCCACTTGTTTCCCAGTGGGTTGATGGCGTAGCGTCTGATTCTGGTTCCTCTGTCAGAGAACGTCTCTGTCATTGTTCTGCTGCCACAGGTCTGTAAATAAAACACCAATATTCAATTAGCTCTCTGAGGAACAGGCATGCATTTCCTCTGGTGTCCACCAGGTGATGCTACTGAAAGAACCTTCCTTCCTTCCTTCCTTCCTTCCTTCCTTCCTTCCTTCCTTCCTTCCTTCCTTCCTTCCTTCCTTCCTTCCTTCCTTCCTTCCTTCCTTCCTTCCTTCCTTCCTTCCTTCCTTCATTGCTAAGAATTGTGCCACCATGCAGCTTTTTTTTTGCATATTTGTTACAAATATGCAAAAAAAAGCTGCATGGTCCTTCCACAAAGGAAGGAAGGAAGGAAGGAAGGAAGGAAGGAAGGAAGGAAGGAAGGAAGGAAGGAAGGAAGGAAGGAAGGAAGGAAGGAAGGAAGGAAGGAAGGAAGGAAGGAAGGAAGGAAGGCTTAAGACAACATTTCAATGTTTTAGCATGGTCATCTCAAAGCTCTGATCTCAGTCCTGTTAGAACAGGAAAGGTGAAAAGGCATCTGAGAGCGAGGTGACCTTCAAATTGGTCACATCAGTTCTTCTAAGGGGAATAGGCCAAAGTATGGGGTAATATGAAGTATACATTTGTACTCTATACTTGTACTTTTTTTATTTGTGCTTGCACATCAATGATTCTTACTCATACATTTTTGATTTTTCCTCTTAAAAAATTACATTCATACAAATTTGTGATTTGAAATTTAAATTTTGGATTGGTTCTCATATATCGGTAATTTTTACACAGAAATGTGTGATTTGTTTGTGGTTCACACACATAAATATCTGTTTCGTATTTGTAAAAGTGTGATTTATTCTTGTAAATGTATGATTCGTACTCATATATATTTGTGATTCACGCACACATTTCTGATTTGTGCTTTTGAATTTGTGACTTGTTTGTGATTCATACTCATAATTTCTAATTCTCACTAATAAAAGTGTAATTTTTGTTTATAAATGTTTGCTTTGTTTGTAATTAAAAAATGATACCTGCTGTCATTATTCTGTCATTTAGAAAATATAGACTAATATCTATAAGTCTTTAGGACATAAAACAGATTCAGATTTTGTGTCTGACAGTGAGAAAAGTAAAAAGCTTCTATATCTTTTCACACACAGTAAAACTTCTGGCTTCAATTGTAACCTTTCCTGCTGCCCAGGCTCTCATGGCCATATAAGTGGATTAAGTGATTTAGCAGAATTTGGTATAATTTATATATCTATATGGTGCAGCTCTGGTTCCAGGCATTAGGTTAGGATCATAACTCACTGTGGGGTTTTATTTTATCAGAACTCAGTGTTTAAACAAAGGCAGTAGGTTACTTTCATTCCGCACAGATGTAAAAACTTTCCTTTCATGCTCCCCCTCCTCCCAAATATCTGTCACCCACATGTGAACTGGGCTCAGAGCCTCTTCTGTTCTGAAACATGTTTTGCCCCAAACTGGACCAGAACACAGCTTTGGTCATCACCCAGAGCAGCGCCCCCTGGTGGGAGAGATAAAACAATCTGGAGTGAAAATCAGAAGTTTCTGAACAAACAGGCTCACTGTGCAGACTTAACTGGGCTCCTATTGCAAACCCGAGCCATCTGATCTAACCCCACCTCCTGCTAAATACCAGGAGTCCGGTCCAAGAGACAAAACACATTCACCTCCTACACCCTCTCTGCCTGGAGAAACAGGAAGAAAAAAAAAATTGCATCTGGGCTGCAGCTTTAACCTGTGCCTCCCTGTTCCTCCCAGCAGGACGAGCAGCTCCTGCATGATTTTGGACCCGAGGTTCTGATAACCAGACTGGATCAGGGTTTCAATAAAGCTGAAAGAACAAACATCCATCACATGTTTCAGTTTTAGATCCTCTGAGAGATGTGAGGAAAACTGGAACAAACTGAGCTGCAGCTGCTTTATCCAACCGGACCTCTGTTTGGATCCAGCATTCAGTTTGTGAAGAGTTTAGAAAAGCTCAGACTGGAAACCAGAAGAACTTCTGGCAGCCTTACAGGTGGACCGACCAGTCCAGGTGAAACCCACCTGGTGCTGCTCTGACTCACCTTCATGCATCTGCAGACCTGCAGCCTGCTTTTAGCTTTGCTTCTCTTGGTTCTAATTGATTCAGATCCATGCAGACTCACAAAGCAGGGAGAACTGAGTCAGAACCAGCAGGACGATCAGAACAAAACAAAAACCTGCAGACACTGAAGTCCACAATGAAAATAAAACGGGACACTCAAGTTCAAAAACACTGCTGAGCTGAGGGGCCCCCTCATGAAGCTCAGGGGCCCCTGACTTCATCACACACATCCAATGGTCTGTTTGTCTGCAGACACTCGGCGGTCAGAAATCAGTGGCGGTTCGCTTGTTTTGATGGGGGAACAGAAAAGCATGAAATGAAAAAACAGGTCTTCAAATATATTAAGATCGCTGCATGAAGGGGAAATTTCTATTCACTTAGATTTAACTAAAATTCTATTTCTTATTATGTCAATATCCATTCATAATTGAGGAATTTTGCTTATTTTTTAAAACTAATTTAGGATAAAATTACTGTCTTCTATAAAATCTGAATTAGAACTCCAGAAAAAAATTATAAATTCAGCTGGAAATTTTTGAGGATTTTTTTATATTTGTTTAAAAAAAACATTTAGCAGATGAAAACTGGGATCCTATCTCAATACCACTGAAGCTATCACCTTATTGTTTTTAAATAATTAGTAAAAACGAATATGTAAAGAGAAAAAAATGAAATAGATCCAAAGGACCTATCACTATTATCTGTTTCAGTGAATTCATCATTATAATTTCTTTGAGTAGTATGTCTTCAGTAAAGGGACCATAACAGGGGCCAGGAAATGATCTACAGGGGCACTGGCCCCTGTTGGCCCCTATCTAGAACCTCCCATGTCAGAAATCCCAATCAGCTGATCCAATCAAACACTGATTCCGATCCGGACCCAGAACTTCACACTGACCTTTATCAGCATCATCATCAGGAGCAGAGGGAGCTTCATGGTGTCATCTGCCGCGGTCCCTGCTTCCTCCGTCCCGTTAACAACTCGCGACGCTCCGCTGCCGCTCAGGGAGCAACTGATGGAAGTTCACGGAGTGTGTTCGCTGCTGTGAGTTGGGTTGTCCGGATGGGCGGGCTCAGGTGTGTGCGCGGTGTCCGTTTACTCCGGGACATTTTAACCGTTTATGCGCCGAACCCATCCGAACCTTTCCAGAAAAGAGGAACCGGCTCCTCTCGGGAAGACAAACAAGACTCTGTGCAATGACTCCCAGGCCCCCCGGAGCCTTCAGGGGCCCAGGTAGGGTCACCCTGAGGTGTTTTTTTTTTATAATTTTTTTCTGGTCCAGATGTTTGGGACATCTGTAAAAACAGGCTGCTTGAAAACAGAGAGCAAAGCTCGATAGAGGAAAAGATCCCAACTTTTGATAATCAATAAATCAGCAGTTTTTACTTATTTATTTCCTTTGAAACAGTCTACTTCAAATACATTTTTTCTAAATTTCAATTGAGTTTATTTAAATAGTGCCAATTCACAACACAAGTCATCTGAAGGCATTTTACAGTTCAACCAGATCACACAGTCAAATTGATTCAAAGTTTTCTATCTAAGGAAAACCAGTTGATTGCATTGACTCATTGACTCAAATGCAATCCCTCACACCAAGCACGCTTGTAGCGACAGTGGAGAGGAAAAACTCCCTTTAACAGGAAGAAACCTCCAGCAGAACCAGGCTCAGTGTGAGCGGCCATCTGCCGAGGCCGACTGGTGTTCAAGGAGACAGAAGCAGAGATACAAAAAGCAGCTGTAAAAGGCGTCCCTGTCCAGGAAACACACAGCCAGGCAGACGAGCTCTGAGCCAACTCCCATGTGGAGACGATGAAGAGAGCACATCCAGCCAGTCACAGTCAGAGAAACAGGACTACACTGGAAAACAGGCCGATCCCCAACATCTAGAAACAAAGGTGTTGATGGCAGCAGCACAGCTGATATTTCTCTCCAGGATGGAGTCACAGCCAAACAGGAACAGACCAGATGAAGCTACTATGAGAAAAAGCAGAGAGAGCAGAACGTTAGAGATTAAACTAACAGATTCTGCAGAATAGGAGAATAGAGATAGAATGAAGCAGAATGATGAAAAAGGGGTCCCTATGTCCTCCAGTAGTCTAAACCTATAGCAGCATAACTATAGAGATAGCTCAGGAAAATCAGTCTAAAATTAATTTGGACTGAAAAAAAATAATAGAAGTTTCAAAATCCAATATAAAAACAGGTGGTTGGTTTGGGGCTTTAGTCCTCCAGTCTGGTTTAGATAAGAACACCAACACTAATTAACAAGTCGAAATCAGTGTGAGGACCTGTATAAAAACAAAAGTGTTTGTTATAGAATAGAAATTAATTTATGGAAGCACGAGAAACACCAGAAATAAAATCAAAAAGAATAACGGAGAAATAACTGTCAAAGCTTTGGTTCTGTTTGAGTTTTCTGCTTTTCTTTTTCTAGTTTTATTGGTTTAATTCTTATTTTGAGGTGTTTTCTGGATGTATTTAGGTATTTCTTGTTTGCCCTCTGTTGCCCTCTTGTGTTGGTCTCCTTTTCCCCTGCTCCTTTCAAGGCTCTTCTGTTCACACCTGCTCCCTGCTGATTAGCCTGGTCTCTGTTTCTCTCTTCCATATATGCACCTCCTGCTCAGTCACTGTTGCTGGTTTGTTGTCATTTCATCGCCCCCTTGTTGTAGATATTCCTGATTTTCAGTATTTTGGGGGGATTTTGTGGATTTATGTTTTTGGATGTTTGCTTCTGTTACACTTTTTGGTTAATTAAATCTGGCAAGAAAGCACCGCAGCTCCAGTCTCTGCATTTGGGTCCTGTCAAACCTCCACCCTACTTGACAATAACGGAATCAAATTTTACTGTGCAGCCATGCATCTACAAGTAAAATTTAAATAACCACCAAGTTTTCTGGAGCTAGTAATGTTGTAAAGTCTTAACAGCTGCAGGGAGGAAGGATCTGTGGTAACGCTCCTTTGTGCAGCTTGAGTGCAGCAGTCTCTCACTGAAGGAGCAATTTAGTTCTCCCACAACTACTTCATGCAGGTTGGGAGACACATTGATGGTATTTAGGCCAGAGTCCTTCAGTCACCCATCACCTCTAGTTCTGGACAGAGCTGGCCTCTCTGATGAGCCTATTCCTTTTTTTCTGTTTGAATGAACTCAATACCAAGATGGAAGCAGTGACTTTAGGCGAGCTACTGCTGCTCATCAGTCATCTGGAACTTGTTTTAAGGCCACATCTGAACTATCTGAGGTCCAAAGCTATGCAATGGTTGCTAACATATAAGGCCTGAGATGAATGTGCTGTGGATTTCAGTGCTGTCAAAAGTTCACACATTTGTTACTTAAGTAGAAGTATAGATACTGAGGTTTAAAAACACTCTGGTAAAAGTTTAGGTATCAGCTTGACCTCTTTACTCAAGTAAAAGTGAAAAAGTATGTGCTCCAAAAACTACTTGAAGTATAAAAGTACAAAGTAATCTTAAAAAAAAAACCAGCTAGATCCCACTATATGAATCCAAAGATAAATTTTTCCACTATTTCGGAAAATTCTTTGAGATAGGGCCAAGGATGAGGGAGGTCTTGTTGGTCTCCATCTCCTGATACGCTTTCGCCTGTGTCCGACCGTTCAGACATTTCAACATCTTTTTCTGAATCCTACATTGTAACATGGCATAGACAATTCACGTTTGCAGTTTGAAGAACACCTGCTTGCTTCTGATGAGTGTTTGCGTTATATGACTCATCCAATTACACTAGTTTTCAGTAGATGTGGATGGAGCCAATGATCTGCATTGGATGGCACACATGGCATGAAATAAATATTTATAAACATTAAACTAAAGCCAAGAATAACGAGTAACGTTTATTTTTACAACTGTAAGGAATAGAAAGTACAGATACTTGTGTGAAAATGTAATGAGCAGAAGTCAGAAGTAGGAAAGAAAACAAGTAATGGAGTAAAATATAGATACCTAAAAAGTATACTTAGGTACACTTGACGCCTCTGGTGGATTTAGCCCAGAGCCAGAGCTCAGGCATCTGAAGACATGTTTTTTTTTTTTTTGGTAGGATGAAGGATATGTCTTTTTCTCTCTAAAACAATACGGAAGCAGAAATTTGGTTGTGGATCTGAATTGGAATAATATGTCTGGAACAATGTCCAGAGAAATCAAAACCCAGCATATCTGTGCAAACGCCTCATAGCAGCTCAAAGCACGGAGGAAGAAGACTGATGATGTGGGCCTGTTGGCATCAACAAATCTCCTACAGTGTTTACCTTTTGATCACTGCTGCTTTTAAATGGAAACGTTCATTTCACTGCTGAGCTGCTCATTCAATGTCAAAAAGCTGTATGTATCGAAATTTCGTTTTGGATACAGTCTGTGTATAAAGAATGACAATAACGTGTTTCTAAGTCTAAGGCAAATGTGAATCAAAAAAGTAAGATCGAAGGTTCTGGAATGGCCCAGTCAAAGTCTGTTGCTTCGAACCTTTTTGTGCTCATGAACAAAAAACAAAAAGAGGGCCAAAATACCTTCAAAACAGTCCAAGGCTGATTAAGTCTTCCCTGCTGAAGCTAAAGACGGTTCTGTGTGATCTGGGAGGGCTGAACAGGTCGCTGTGAGTTTTTGACCCGGTCACGGTTTAAATTCAGCGTCCCTCTGCTCACCCTGCTTTCTGATTGGTTGTTTGCTCAGATTATTGATCCCTGCAGCTCAAGCTCTGCTGACTGATGATGTTTTATTGTCATAATTAATCTGGAGAAACTAATGAGCTGTTCAAAGCAGACTCATTAGCTGCTCCGCTCTCTCCTCACCGTCATCATCATCATCATTGTTATTCTAACTGTTATTGCTGTTGTTATTATTATTTATTGTTGTTGTTTATCAGTGAAGGACAGCTGGTCACCTTCAGTCTCCCTGCAGAGCTCAGCAGAAGCTGCATGTTAATGAGCTGCTCTGCTTCTCCGCAGCGGCTCATGGTAAAATCATCATGAGGAGGAAGATGATCATACTGGTTTGGGCTCAGTGTCTGAGTCCTCCCAGTGGTTTTGGTTCTGGTCATTTAGGGTCTGTTGTTTAAACCGAAGGGTTTGGGTCAAACTGCATTTTTTTATTTAACCCGTAAACCTTCCCCAACTGAGGCGAAAAGAAACGGTTGAGATTCGACCTCTGGTTGAAGGTAGGAGCGTCCGCACAGTGGCCTTACCAGGCCTCGGGCCCCCAGGGGACCTCCTTCAGCGCATCACACAGAGGGAGGAGGAGGAGGAGACGGACTTTCAGAGCAAGCTGAAGGATGACAATTTAATTACGCTTCTGTTCATTCATCTGTCGATCTACACAAACAGGGAGAAACCCCTGAAGACACACTGAAACTTAACACACAGAGCCTGACTTTCACAGAAACACTCTCACACTGACAGAAACAGTAAAAGTCACAGAGAAACACTCTCTCTCTCTCTCTCCTCCTCGGCAGGTTCCCACAGCGCTCCCAGAGACACCACCTCCTCCTCCTCCTCATCTCTGAATGGAAACTCGCCGTCTGTTTACAGGCTGGTGGTCGTCATAGAGACCAGCAGGTCAAACTGGACATTTCAACGATGTGACGTCTCACTCTGATTTTCAGCATCCAACTGAGCAAACACCTGCTCCAACTATCAGGACTCATAACACGTTTACTGATAAGAAAGACCATCGCGGGACTCAGTGACTGTTCGGGGCCCCAAACACTGCTTTGAGGTGCCATAGACTTTCATTCACACCTTTAGGGGCGCTAATGAAGGTTTTACAGAGCTATGGAATTCCACAAATACACCCACAGACCCTCTGGGGCCCCACAGACCCGTATGGACTCCAAAAACTGTTAAAAGCATTCACAGATCTGTGGGGCCCGACCAACCTCTAAAGTTTTTACAGACCCTTTGGGATCACGTAGACCCTTAAGGGCCCTTGTGATCTTCAGAACTTCCCATAGGATGCTTAAAAATCCCTTATTCAATTCTTAGAGGTCCAAAGACCTGTAGAGAATCAACAGACAGCTGAAGGACATGATGTAATGTCATAGTGTCAGGAAACCACCAGGGACCCACAGCTAGCTAGGG